TAATTCTTTTGAATTCCTTATCAGAGAGTTCCAATGCTGCTTCTTTCTCAGGGATGTGTTCTGGGTCTGTATCCTGCTCCCTTGTTTCTACCACTTTATCCTGCTTCTTCGTGTGGACTGTGATGGTCTGTTGTCTCTGAGGCATAGTGGCATTCTTATATTTAGATCTATGTTAACTGTGAAGAGCAGCCAAGGGTGATTCAGGCTCTTCTTGGTGGTTTTTTATATTGGCCCATTGGTGGAGAAGGAGGTAGTGGTTCTCATTCAGTAAGTGAAGTTGCAGGAGGTGTGGGTATAGTTGTGTCTTATGGGAACTGTTGCTGTCTTCCACTCAGTTAGACAAAAATTACAATTGAATAACCATCAAAATACTAAAAACACCTGGACAGAAAACACACCATGTAATCACACAGGAACAGTAACCAAAAAAAGAAAAAAGGGAAAAAGAAGAAGAAAAAACAAGAAAACCTGCAATATCTGGGGCTAGGGTACTAAGAGATAAAAGGTAGAGAAAGAAGATAATGAAGGAAAAAAAAAAAGGTAAAAATGCAGAAAGAAATACAAGGAACAGGGTTATCCATGAGAAAAAAGTGGAAAAAAAGAAAAAAAATTAAATTAAAAAAAAAAAAAAGTTCAACCAGGAACAGGGAAAAGAAAAAAAGCTGAAAACTAGGACTTGGGAGGGGAAGAATAAGAATGATAGTAAAAAGGACAAAAGTTTTAATAATTACAGTTGTTTTAAAACAGACAAATAGAAGGAAATGAATCACCAGAAAAAAGAAAGCGAAAAAGAAGAAAAAAAAATCGGTGGAGGACAGGGCAGGGCACCCAGTCACCGTCTGAGCACACTGTGATGGAGTTCCTGTGGGTCCTGAACGTGGGAGGGAGTGGGGGATTGCCACACCTATGTTCACCAAGTGGGTGTGGGGTATAAGAGTAACAAGAGGAATGTCACAACTTTTCAGTCTTACAGGTCCGGAGGGTCCTTGGGGTTGCTGGAAAGCAGAACCTCTTCTTAAGCCCCTGGAATCTCGGAGAGTGCCGTCTCTTTACATATCCAAAATGGTCAAGCCGCTTGTAACATTCAAAATGGCGGTGCCCTCCGGACCAGCAAAAGTCCACAGCTCAGCCCACCTTTCTCTTCACCTTCTCCGTTTATTCCCCAGCCACCAGAGCACTCCTCTGTACAGTCCCTGGCTAGCAGTGCTGATTTTTAGGTTAATTCTTAGGTCCTACCACCACTCAGGAATCTCCAAGCTGTCTGTGCTGGGCCGTCAAGATCGCTCAAGATCACTGACAGAAAGCAGCTCCGTCTGTTTGCTTTTTTGGTATTTTCATGCAAATTCTTCTGCTAGTTGGGGTTTAGTCCACTTCTATATCCTTCCGTTCAAGGCTCAAGGATCCAGGATTATCTTCTGTGTCTGTGTTAATTGGTTTCCCTTTTCTTTTTTGAAGAGGGTCTGTGTAGTCTTTCTGCCTAGTCCACAATCTTACTGGAACTCCCAACAGTATTTTTTTAAAAAAATTACTTCAGGTAATTCTAACTTCAGCAAAAACTTAAACAACTTCTCCAGATCCTTCACATTACATTTGGTCTTGAAATTAATTGTATTAAGCATCATGGATCCATTTCTGGAACCTGTTGCTATAAGTGTCTATTATTTTCATTACACATTTTAAATTCCTAGATTAGAAGAATTAAGTTTTATCAATTTGATTCTCTGATAATAAATACTACAGCAGACCGTACCAGAAATCAAGTATGATTTAAAGTTGAATCATGCTGTATTTTTGAAAATCAAAAGACAAAGGAAGGACAAAAGGGAGAGAAAAAGGAAAAGAGAGTTGAGGGGAGTAAAGAAGAGGGAACCAACTCACATCTCAGAGAGAAAAAGGGAGAATTTATCTACACACGAGGAGCTATGCACCAGAAGAAGATCCATTAACCCCCAAGTTTCTCCTAAACTAGGTTTGATACAATTCAATGTTCTACTGCGTACTGAAAAGCGTGGAAAATGGTACATCACTTTAGTGTAAGTGAAAATTCCATATTACAAACTCTAATTCATAGAAAAAATAATGGACAAATATAATTACCTATATACATACCTGTGTATTCATCAAAGCCTTTAGACACTGTATGACTTTGTGTTGACTCTTCTTTACAATTTTTTCTCGGCTGTATTGACATTAAAAATATTGGTGTTGGAATTATAATTGCACTTGCAAGTATAGCTTACTTAAAAATAATTTTTGGTAATACTTACAGTTTGCCATTTATCAGTCTTTCCAAAATATCCAATAGTAATCCAAGTCCCTCATGGCCAAAGCTTTTCACCCAACTAGGAAAAAAAAAAGGGGAGGGATATAACTATACATTGTTAAAACACAGTTTTAAATGTATCCATCTTGGAATATCACAACAAATATTGTCTGTTGTTGTCACATATCCACAAGTATTTTATACAAGTAACACCTACTTTTCAAAAGTTTGCTTTATGCTATTTCACTTCTATGAAACATCTAGATTAGCACCTATTTTCGCTAATCAAAAGAAATCTGAAGAGGATTTTTGCTTTTATGAAGAAAGGTAAAGAGACACTACTGTTCATTGTCTGTTTTGCAGTGAGCCATTGAAGAGGCAGCATGCACCAAATAGTGAGTGGAGTCACCAAACTTCTTCTCCAGGTACTACTCTGTACATACATTATTTGTGCTTTATATAGGCTGTGTATTTATTTATCATATCAGTCCTGTTTTTAACTATATGTTAGTGTTATTTTAGGTTATATGTGTTATTTGGTATGATTTGGTAGCTTATTTTTTGGATCTAAGAATGAAGCTGGGTGGAGGCAAAGTTCAGCATGCGTTCCCAGTTAAGGGCAAGTAAATAAATATGATAACTCAGTTCCTTAAGAAATGAATGGCATAAAATCTCAACTATCATCCCCACCCTGATTAAGACAGATAGGACCTGCATCTCCAGTTGGAAAAAGATAAGTAAACATGATAACTCAGTTCCTTAAGAACTGAATGGAATGAAAGGTCAATTTACACATTGTCTCCATGTTATCCCCTAGAAACAGGTGATAAGTATGTTAATACTATTCAGAAGACAACTTGGAAATTAACCTTGGCCCACTGACATGTCAAGTGACACAAACAGGAACAAAGTTACTGGGAACTGACATTCTCCACTCTGCCCAAGCTGATGACAGGAAGCCGGTGTGACTCATTCAGTGTGCAAGCGCACTGCATTAAAAATCGACTGTCCCTTTAAACAGAGGTGAAGGAAGCCTCAGCCAATTGCCAGTTAATTTACTCCCGAATTCCTAAAATTTTTATGAATATGTATAACCTCCCTCTCCTGAAGCTTACAAAAATGTATCCTAACCTGGATTTGGGGAGTCTGATTTGGTTACTGGCCCCTGGTTTCCATGCATTGCCACATTGCAATAATTTTCTCTAGTCTCAAAAACGTGGTGTGTAAATGGCCTGACTACGCAATGGTCAGGGACCCACGTTTGGTCCTACGTGAGAAACGTTCAAAAATTTTTCTCATATAAATTAATGGTAATTATTTCTTCACTTTACATGACTTTGGCTGACAAAATGTTTCATAAGAATGCTCTATTTACAGAGTTCTGCTAAGATGGAGGAATAGGCAGAAAGACTGCACAGACCCTCTTCAATAAACAAAAAGGGAAGCAATTAACACAGATAAGAAGATAATCCTGGAGGCCTGAGCTTTGAAGGGAAGGACACAGAAGTGGACTAAACCCCAACTACCAGAAGAATTTGCCTGAAACCACCAAAAAAGGAGACACACGAAGCTGCAGTCTGGCAGTGATCCTGATGGCACAGACAGCTTGGATATTGCCGAGTGGTGTTAGAACCTAAGAATTAACCTAAAAATCAGCCCTGCTAGTCAGGGACTACACAAAGTACTGCTCTGGTAGCTGGTGAATAAAAGGGAAAGCAGCGAAGAGGAAGGAGAGCTTAATTGTGGAATTTTGCCTGTCTGGAGGGTGCAGCAATTTTGAATGTTTACAAGCAGTTCGACCATTTGGATATTTAAAGTGACAGCGTTCTCTCAGATTCCAGGGACTTAAGAATAGGATCCATTTTCACAAACCGCAAAGACAGTCCAGACACCAACAACTAGAAAGGTGCATTATTCCCCCCTTGTTACTCTTATACCCTACACCTTCTTGGTGAATGCAGGTGCAGCCATCCCTCACACCCACCCAACTTCTGGGCCAACAGGAATTCCATCCCAGTCTGTGTCGTTGGATAGACCCTACCCAACCTTGAGTGCCCTGCCCAGCCTTGCCCAGATTTTTTTTCCCCCTTTTTTATATGGTTTCTTTGTTTTGGTCTGTTTAAAAACTATTATTATTATAATTACTGTTTTTGTCCTTTTTATTATTATTCTTTATTCTTCCCTTCCAAGGTTTCAGTCTTCAGCTTTTTCTCTCTTCCCTGTTCCTGGTTCAATTTTTTTTCTTTCTCATGGTTAACACCATTCCTTGTTTTTCTTTTTCCATTTTTCCCCATTTTTTTCTTCATTAGTCTCCTACTCTATCATTTTTCTCTCACTGCCCTCTACACAGATACTGTGGGTTTTAGTTTCCTTTTTCTTTTTTGGTTATTGTCCCTGTGTGATTACATGGTGTTTTTTGTCCACTTGTTTTTACTTTTTTGATGGTTATTCAATGGTTATTTTTGTCTAAGTGACTGTGAGACAACAACAGTGCCCATGCTATAAAACCACATGAACACCTCCTGCAGTTTCACTTTCTGAGTGAGACCCACCACTTCCATCTGCAACAACTGGACAACAATAAACAAACATCAAGAACAGCCTGATTCACCCTTAGCTGTTCTTCACAAAGAGTTAACAGAGATATAAATACAACAACATCACAATGTTTCAGGGACAACAGACTATCAGAGCCCACACAAAGAAGCAAGATAAAGTGGTAGAAATAAAGGAGCAGGATACAGACCCAGAACACCTCCCTGAGGAAGAAACAGCATTGGAATGCCCTGAAAAGTAATTCAAAAAAATTATATTCAGGTACCTTCAAGGAATTGAGAGCCTAATCAAGGAACACTGATAAAATTGAGGAAAACACAGAGAAAATCCTAGAACAATTTTAAAAGACAATGCAAGGACAAAATGATAAAAGAAATGAAAAATTAAAAATGATACAAAATCTACAGACAGAAATGCAGAATATTAATACTAAAGATTCAGAAATACACAACACATTGAATGGCAAAGAAGTAGAATTGAATCATGGAAGACAGAATTAGTGAGATTGAAGGGAAATACCTCAATACTTCTTTGGAAAGTGATCAGTCAGAAAAAAGATCAAAACAAAATGAAGAAAGCCTAAGGTTCACCTGGGATACCACCAAAAGGAACGACATACCTGTAATCAGAATTCCAAAACAGGAAGAGAAATAAATAAATAAATAACACCAAGAAAATTATCCAAGATTTCTTGGGAGAGAATTTTCCTGGTATGATGAAAGATGAGAATACAGCCATTCAAGAAGTCCATGAACCCCAAACAGGATAGAACCCAAAAGAAAATCACCAAGACACATCATCATCAAACTCATCAAAACCAAAGACAAAGAAAGAATCTTGAAGGAATCATGGGAAAAACAAAAGTTATCTAAAAGGGGCAACCAGTAAGACTAAGCCCAGATTTCTTAGCAGAAACCATGCAGACGAGAAGACAAAAGAATAATATATATACAACTATGAAAGAGAAAAATTTCCAGCCAAGAATTATGTAAAGGGGAGATCCGGCAAGACGGAGTAGATAGAAAGGCTGCACATACCCTCTTCAACAAAGAAAAGGAAAACCAATTAACACAGACACAGAAGATAATCCTGGACCCCTGAGCCTTGAAGGAAGGACATAGAAGTGGACTAAATCCCAGCTAGCAGAAGAAACTGCGTGAAAATACCAAAAAAGGAGACATACGGAGCTGCAGTCTGGCAGCGATCCTGAGCGATGCTGAGGGCACAGAAAGCTCGGAGATGCCCAGCTGCTGGTAGGACTCAAGAATTAACATAAAAATCAGCCCTGCTAGCCAGGGACTGCATGGAGAACTGCTCCGATGGCTGGGGAATAAATGGAGAAGGTGAAGAGGAAGGCGGGCTGAGCTGTGGACTTTTGCCGGTCCAGAGGACACTACCATTTTGAAGATCTAAAAGCGGCTTGACTATTTTGGATATTTAAAGGGACAGCGCTCTCGCAGATTCCTGGGGCTTAAGAATACGTTCAGCTTTACAGCAACCCGAAGGACCCTCCGGACCTGCAAGACTGAAAAGGTACGACATTCCTCTTGTTACTTTTATACCCCACACCCGCTTGGTAAAAGGACGTGCGACCATCCCCCACTCCCACATACCATCTGGGCCCACAGAAACTTCATCACAGTCTGTGTGCTCAGATGGAGCCTGGGGGCCCTGCCCTGTCCACCACCGATTTTTTTTTTTTCTCTTTTTTTTTTTTATATTTTTCTTTTTTGCTTTCTTTTTCTGCAGATTAGTTTGCTTGTATTTGTCTGTTGTAAAACGACCATTATTATTAATAATTATGTCATTTTTACTATTATTCTTAATCTTCTAATCCCAGGTCCTAGTTTTCAGCATTTTTTCTTTTCCCTGTTCCTGACTGAATTTTTTTTTTTTAATTTAAATTGTTTTTTACTTCTTTTTTCCCCTTTTTGTTGTGGTAAACCCTGTTCCTTATTTTTCTTTTTGAATTTTTCACATTTTTTTCCCTCCATTATTCTCCTTCTCTACTTTTTTTCTCTGAATGCCCTATCCCCAGATATTGCAGGTTTTGTTTTTTCTTCTACTTTTTCCCTTTTTTCTTTTTTCATTACTGTTCCTGTGTGATTACATGGCGTGTTTTTTGTCTATAGGCTTTTAGTTTTTTCATGGTTATTCAATGTAATTTGTGTCTAATTGACTGGGAGACAACAGTCCCCATTAGACACAATAATACCCACACATCCTGCAACTTCACTTACTGAGTGAAAGCGACTTCCTCCTTCTCCACCAACGGGCCAACAATAAAAAACGACAAAGAAGAGCCGGAATCACCCTTGACTGCTCTTCACAAACAGTTAACAGAGATCTAAATACAATGATGTCATGATGCCTCGGAAATAATAGACCATCACAGTCCACAAAAGAAGAAGGATCAAGTGGCAGAAACAAGGGAACAGGATACAGACCCAGAACACATCACTGAGAAAGAAGCAGCATTGGAACTCTCTAATAAGGAATTCAAAAGAATTATCTTTAGGTATC